GTAGGTATGTTACCTTGTGTGAAGGATGCTGACAGTGGTCACATGAATGACATTGTCTTAAAGTATACATGTTACATTTCAAACATTCTATAGGATAGACGTTTGGGATTGACCTATTACATAGAAACATCTCATGAGTTACAGAACAGTTAGATATATAATTATATTGTCTTCCTCAGATCTGTGTCTGTGAAGAGTGTTCTGCTGGTCACTGCTCAGGATTGGAATGTGGGTTGTAGTTTATAACTCTTATCTAGAGAGGGACAGAGGAAGGAAGCGAGGTTAGTGTGTGTGCGTGTGTGTGTGTTCATGCATGGCACAGAGAGGCCAGGATTCACACCTTAGTGATAATCACTCCTTTTGGTGTTACTTGTCCTATTTAAGAAACAATCAAATATCATGTATGCTACATTACACACCTTGGGGATAAAACTATGTGAACTGAGCAGAGGAGACAGAACCAGACCTCAGGACTTTGATAATAAACGCATGGTGATTTACAAGTAAGTGAGTTAATTCTGAAGTCCCATCTGTGTTTGTGGACTTATTGTGTGCTTGACATTATAGCATTTGTGTTTAGTTTTCCCAAAAGCATAATTAAACGTCAGCTAACTACAGCAAATAGCTGGTGCTAGTTAATTGATCTGGTTGACAGGCAAAATGGAAGCTAACGGTTGTAGCTGACACACAGCTGTATGCTAGCATTGCTTGTTTATTATTACTGTAATCTCCTCTGCATCTCAGGGTGTTCACAAATGTAAGATGATGTGAAATGTTTACATTTACTGTGGGAGTCAGATAGCCAGTCATTAACATCATGCTGTAATGGCTGCGCTGACTTTCACTTTGGCATATTGTTTCTGGTTTGTCTGTTTGCCTGTACGTCCATACGTATGTACGTCTGTCTGTCCCATTCTTGTGGGCATGATATCTCAGATACACCTTGAGGAAGATTGTGATATTTATTACATCTTCAGCGATGTCTGCTGTCTTTAGGCACAGTTACACTCGCTAACCCGAACTAATTGCGCACTCTAACTGCCATCCTTGAAAATTTTCCTCATAAAAAGTTAGACAATCTCTTTTAAATCCCACAATTTCCAATCTAACTTGACAATTTTTATATAAAAAATGTAGAGATTTTTTTTGTCCAGTATTACCCAGTTTTGGTGTCATTTTGATATATTTTACAGTTTTTGAGGAAGTGATGGGAGTACCCTCCACCTCTCCCATTGACTACAATACAAATTCAGGAGCGGGTGTTACTGGGCAGAAATGGGCAAAGCTGATTCTGATTGGCTTATTAAACTCATTAATTCTTAGCCTTTTAACTCAGGTATGAGAGCAACTCTAAGATGAATCAACACAGTGTGTTTGTGTGTACTTGTGTGTGCGTGTTGATGTGTGGTTCTTTGCAGGTGTGTTCATGTCTTTCTATAATTGTGAGGACAATTTTCTTTAAAAACCATTATTGTGAGGTAATTTTGGCAGGTTGTGACAACTTCAGAGGGCTGTTTGAAGGTTAAGCTAACGCACTTCCCAACACCATGAACACATTTACATTGATAGACACACAAACTCCACCATATGGATATTAATTGTATAAATGTCTCAACCTGGTAACACAAGCTTTTTGGAGGCTCTTTGGCAGACAGCTCTACTGCCACACACAACAACACACACGCACATTGACAGACACACACAAACACCAGTTTACTTTTTTGATCTTCAACTTCAAAATAAAAGTCTCAACCAGGTAAAAAGAACTTACTGGAGGGCAGTTGTTGGGCAGCTCTACTGCTACACGGTAGCGGTGGTATAGCTCTATTCAGTTCAACTTCTGTTAGTACATGTACATCTGTTACAGAAGGAAACACTTAAACGATGCTATGGTATTGCAGTGTTGTTTACAGTTGTCTTTTACATTGCACATACTTCTATAGAGAATAGAGAAAAATGGTGCAAAGCACATATTGTATATGTGCCATAGACTGTATATAAAAATGATATGTGCAAATCGTTTTTTCCAAATTATAATTATCCAGAAATTTTTCAAAGTTGCCTGCACCTTAGAGCTGTTACGCTGTTTTAACTGTTGCACTGTTTTAAATAAATGGTGCAAAGCACATGCTGTTAAAGTGAAGTGAATCTGTTCATTCTTTCAATCCAAGTAACAACAGGTTGTCTAGAAATCATTTTGAGAGACTCCTGCTCATGAGGCATAACAACTGCTTTGCTGATAAATAAGTCAATTAAGCTGGACTAATCTGGTGAGCTATAGACTCGAGTTAGTTGAAGTGTTTGGCCCAGTTAAATGCAGTTCATATACCATACATGTGTTTTTTTCTTTTAAGTCTGTCATCATCATCTGGTGTTAGGAATGCCAGTCTCTTATATTATTTCATTTATTGATATATTATTTTGAAGCAATTCATATTTGTTATTCATCATATTTGTGTGTTTGTGTTTATTTCTTTATGAAGGCCATCAACCTCTTTTATGTTATATCGTAAGAGATTCACTTTCACTTTGAAGTTAGGCCAACATTACCTCAAAGTAGGAACAGATATTCTAATGATAAACGTTTCAAATTAAAGTTTTAATCATACTTTTATTTTGAGCCAGTTATAGCCTGCTGCATGTGTTGACTTGTTATTGCTATATTTTTCTGTGAAGTGCTCCTTGGGCTCGTTTTCACCAACGTTATGTAGCGAGGGCCCTCATGGCCCATAATGCATTGTGCTTGACTGATTAGTTTTTAAGTTTGCCATTTTATTTTTCATTTTCGATTTCATTTTGAACATCATTTTGCCATGTCTGTTTAGAACATGGTAGTTTATGTCAACAACATACATAAACATGGTTCATGTAGTAATTGTCATTTGCAGCTGGTTTTTAGTTTTCACCATGAGGAAGAAGGCTGTTGAGATTCTTGACTACAGCTGAATTTTTTTAATTGTCATTCATTGCTCCTTATTTGCATTCAATTAAAGAACTGACTATTCAAACATCCAGGTCCCCGTGATGTGCTGCAAAAGTAATATAATAAGTAATGAAACTAGTTACTTTTCTTGGGGTAATGAGTAATATTAAATACATTTCTTTCTTTGAGTAATGACCTCAACACTGGCTATGTCAACAGTTAGCTATGCTTTTGGGCTGGAAAACTAAATGCAAATGCTATAATGTCATGCACAAAACAAGACCACAAACACAGATGTGACTTAAGAGTTAACTCACTTACCTGTAAATCACAGTGCATTTATTATCGATGTCCCAGGGTCTGGTTCTGTCTCCTCTGCTCCATTCACATAGTTTTATCCCCAAAGTTTGTAATAAAGTGAGGGAAACATCGTCCCGCAAGTTTTAGTGTAGTACTTGGTAGAAAACAACAAAAGCTGTGGCGAAGTGCATTCGCTGCACAACCAGCCATTAGCCCTTGCCTTGGGGACAGACAGTGACAAGGAAGTGACATCTTAACTCAAGACCTGCTTTGATGAGAGATATGCCAGATTGCATTTTCATTTCATTTTCACTTTCATGCCAAATGAGCGTGGTGACATGTAAATGAAAATTCAATATATGTTTTGCAAAATTAATTTAATTATTGTCCAATGTACAGCAGATTAAGACTTTGAAATGCTGTTTTCATTTTCAAATTGTTAAAAGAATGCATTTTGATTTTCATTGTGACCTGAATATTGCTTGCCTATATGTAAAATTGGGTTACATTGTTGATATTGCATTTTAATTTCCAAATTTGAATTAACCTTTGAATATCGTCCATTGTGCAGCTGGGTATGAGTTTAAAAATGAAATGTAAAACAGCTTTTCTATCTTGATTTTAATATGGTCCTAGAATGCCCATGCAAGTAAGTGAAAATGAAAAAGCCAATTGGTTTATTGCATTTTCATTTAAATTTTTACTCAAATAACACACAAGTTTAAACAAACATATGTGGAAAATTAAAATGGTATTGTGGAATTATGATGTTATCATTTGAATATAGTCCCCTATAGGCTTCCATAAAAAAGGTTGTTAAAAAGGTCTGAATTTTACAGTCAGGTTTTCAACATTTTGAGAACAGAATTGTGAGATCAAGAACAGAATTTTGAGATCAGGAACAGAATTTTGAGCTCAAACCAATGGGTTGTAGCTCATTACCTATCTATCCAATGATGGCAGGAAAGAAGTGTTGTGTCATAACAACGTTTCAGTTATCAGTTATTGAACTAGGAAGTTTGAATCTGTGAATATCTTTCCAACTTTACCAAAATCTCAAAAACAGCAGAACATTGCCATGTCACAACACAAGCATGAAGTAGAACTTGATCAAATCCTGTAAAGTAGCCGTATTCCTCAATTTATTCTCTGTACACCGATTCCTCATTCAATTATGAGTTTGTAGATATCACTCTTTAATGTGATACTGATACTATTTTCTTTTTCTGGTGTGGCAGCAATATGCTTCCATAGAATACTCGTGTACATTTGCAAAAAATTCTAAAATTATGTTTTAACTCTGTGCTTGTGGGATATTGACTGTTGATTGATGAGGGAAAATGTTTGTATTTTGGCATAAACCTGCAACATAACAAAATGTGGAAGAATTGAAGGGGTTTGAAAACTTTCTGAATGCATTGTATACACAGACTAATTGACTGAGACACAGTTGAAAGAAAACCGGGGGGTATAACATGAAGGCAGTAAGTAAAACAACAGACACATAAGATACAGTATGTAATTTCAAAATAAAACAGGTAATAACTACACAGAGTCCAGGCAGGATGTCACACACACCTAAACTGCCAACCAACTGTGGATGAGTTGCATTGTGGATAATGCATGGGATAAAAAAGGTATGTATGGTTCGGCTGCATCAAGTTTGATACTTCCATCTCTCTATTGTTAGTCTGACAATGAAATATTAAATCTCACTACTGGGCTCAGAAAAGGTAATGTTTGTCATCATGCTACTTTGTTGTTACCTCTATTTCAGGTCCCTATTTCTGCTCTCATATCATTTGTGGACTCGTTGGAGGTGGGCTACAGTAAACACAAGAACCCATACCACAACCTGATGCATGCTGCTGATGTGACACAGACTATCCATTACCTGCTTCTCAAGACTGGCATTGTGGTAAGTCTGGTGTTGGGTTAATATCAATGCAAAATGCAAACTGGAAAAACATTTTTCAGAAGTGAAAAAATGCGTAGAGCCTCAGTGAGTACTTCAACTTTGTTTTCATAATTTTGGAGAGTTTTAAGAAAGATTTACATGTCAAGTAACATGTAGAAAGAGATATTTAAACATTTTTAAGAACCACTCATCCAAAAAACTTCACAGTTAATACTGCATTCCCTTGGGTCTTCAGCAATACACCCACAAAGTTTGCGGTCAATCGGATAAGCAGTTGTTGAGAAAATTGATATACAGCAAGACAGACAGACAAGGATTCCTCCATCCTGATGAGGTGCTAGTGATGTCATCAGAGTTATCTCAGCTTGAACTTAAGAGACATGGATGTATTATTAGAACAAGATGCTGGATCTTAAAATGGCGCCCAGTCAGTTCTGTATGAATTGCTCGAGCACCTGGCACATATGCCGAAAAAGTTTCTGGCTTCCAGGTTACTTCTGCGTTGTCATGCGGCCCACTGGATATGTGCAGTAGTGTTATTCCCATCGTGCCTCTGGGCTATGGCAATGAGTGAACAGTGTTCTGGATCTGGCGCTGTGCATTCATGAATGCTATGCTAGCAGACTTCATGGATGAGTAATAAGACTTCTACAGGATTTGATTGGGGCTTAAACCATGGATTTATACAAATGGCATCAGCAACCAGCAATGAAGATAATGTACTGAAAGGTAAGGATGGTATTAAACCCTACAATTGTTGATATCGTGGTTAATTCATGTTGAGAGTTAATTTATTTGTGATGTTAGATGGAGAGTGAGTCATCATTCAGTTCAAAGCTTTAGAGCTTAAAATCACATTGGAACACAAATCCTAATCGAGTGAAAATATTTAGTTTGAACTGTCTTTTGTGCATTTTTAATAAGAAATTGATGCTGCATGTGACAGATAACTACAACTTGTCAGATAATATTACAAGGGCTTTACTTTTCATTCATACTTCTTTAAAAACAAAAAAAGCTGTGCAGTGCTATAGTTATGCATAATTTCCTGATTCTGCTGCACAGATTTTGATAATTATTTTAATTTGTCTTTAGTGAGTCCCTCTGCTTTTTTGGAAGTTCAACACTAAATCATTGGAGAACCTCTTCACTCAGTAAAGCAAGACAAAATCCTCGATTTGAACTGTTGATAAATTTAAAACTTGAATTAAATTTCAATATGTACTTTATCTTTGGTAACCCTTGGTGACCCATTTTTCTCTCTCTCTCTCTCTCTCTCTCTTTCTCTCTCTCTCACTCTCACTCTCTCCTTCTCTATTTGTCTGTCTCTCTCTCAGCATTGGCTAACAGAGTTGGAGATCTTTGCCATATTCTTTGCAGCTGCCATCCATGACTATGAACATACAGGGACCACCAATAACTTCCATATTCAGACCAGGTATTTTCCTCTCAGCATAATTTGTATCATTTAAGTCATTGCAGTTACTGAGGACATTAAGGACAGCAAAGAATAAACCTCTGTAATTAGAAAGTTAAGACATATGGAGGGAAAATACTTTTTGCACAACCATTAGGTAAATAAAACAAGTTTACAAAAATGCTGAAACTGGAGGGTGTTTGATATCTTTATAATATATTTTTGCATCGCTGAAAAGTTTTTGTACATTATCATTATTAATATTATTATTATTATTATTAATAATAATACTACTACTACTACTACTACTACTACTACTACTTCCTTATGCCTTATGATGAATGTATCTGTGTGGGATTTGCAGGTCAGACACAGCCATGTTGTACAATGACCGTGCTGTTCTGGAGAACCACCATGTCAGCGCTGTATATCGCTTACTACAGGATGATGAAATGAACATCCTCTCGAATCTTTCCAAAGATGACTGGAGGTGAGAAGAAACGGTCTTCAGGTTCTAAATTAACAGTCCAAAGCCCATGGTCTAAAGTGCATGATGCAAGACCAATTAGGGTGTGACCAGTCACTTAATTATACATGTATTTTGGGCATTATGTGCAATAAACCAATCAGAGTGCCATCTCCCATTCCCTTTCAAAGTAAGGCAGGCTGGCACCTTGGCCGATTGCTGTGTTTCACACTGAATTAGATTCTATTCGTGGCGAGTTGATTACATATTGTGAGGGGACAGTGAGCCAAGTCCCAGCACACGCACAGCAACTCTGTGTACCCCGAGGGGAAAGGAAGGGCTCTGTGAATCAATGTGCTGCACATAGCTCTACTGAGGAGCAACGGTACAAATCATGTTAAATGATATGAAGAGAAGTGAAAATACATTTTTGGTTCTTTATGAAACTGTGGTGGGACAATTTAGTCTTGGTGATGAATGGGAAACCCTGTGGCAGATTATACGCTGAAGAACACTTCTCTGCAGAACCTAATGTACAGTACCAGTCAGAAGTTTGGACACCTTTTAATTCAATGTTTTTTCTTTATTATTATCTACATTGTAGACAAAGCTGAAGGCATCAAAACTATGAAATAACACATATGGAATTATGTAGTGAACAAAATAAGGGTGAACAAAACAAAATGTTTTAGATTTTAGATTCTTCAAAGTAGCTTTGCAAACTCTAGACATTCTCTCGACCAGCTTCATGAGGTAGTCCCCTGAATTGGTTTTCCAACAGTCTTGAAGGAGTTCCTATAAATGTTGAGCACTGTTTGGCTGCTTTTCTTTCACTCTGCAGTCCAACTCATCCCAAAGCATCTCAATTGGAGGTCAGGTGATTGTAGAGGCCAGGTCATCTGATGCAGCACTCCTTCATTCACATTCTTGGTTAAATAGTCCTTACATATGGGGCTAGAACAGTGACATTAAATTTTGGCAATGAAAATAAAATTTGACATTGAAAACAAAAACTAAACTGAAAAAGGAAACAATGAAAAAGGAAAAATTTGTATTGGCACTGAAATAAGTATTGGCGCTGAAAAAGGTTCCGCTGAAAAATAAAACACTGGCATTGGCCATATACAAGCTGGAACAGTCCAGAACAGAACAGTCCCCTGTGGAGAGACAGTTACCCAGCCTGAAGTACTGTGGTCATCTTGTCAGGTAATCCACAATCCAGGACGTGAAGCAGGGATTCAACCCCATCACTTCCTCATGTAACCACCTGGCTCAGCCAAGTAAGAATGGGCCCAGTGGAGCATGTAAAGGACGGCATCATATACTTGTTCTTTGTAGGCGAACTGTAGGGGGTCTAGTGCATGTTCAACCTGTGGCCTCAGAAAGTTGAGAAGCAGCCGCTCCAGGGTCTTCATGATGTGATGTGAGGGCCACCAGTCTGTAGTCCTTTATTTCAGCCGGTCGTCCTACTTTAAGTACCGGAACAAGACATGATGTTTTCCACAGGACTGGGACCCTCCCTGTTTGTAAACTTAGTTGAAGATCCTGTGGAGAGGCTCAGCCAGCTGGGCTGCACAGTCCTTTAACAGCCTTGGACACACACCATCTGGGCCTGAGAGCCCCCTTTTTCTGGGAGGAGGGTCTTGATGTTACTGGTGATCCAGGGTTTGTTGTTTGGAAAGCAGTGTACAGTTCTTGCTGGTATTACAGTGTCCATACAGAAGTTAATTTAGTCCTTGGTACATTCAACCATTCTATCAAGGTCAGGGTCCTTGCTGTTATCATTTTCCTGTGACTCAAACAGTACATTCCAATCTGTGCACTCAAAACAGTCCTTTAGAGACTCACTGGCCTCCAGGGTCCAGTTCCTGAATGAGTGGGGGGTTGCAGCCTGCCTCAGTACACAGGTCTTGTAGGAAGGCTGACAAAAAACCTGATTATGATCTGATCTACTAAGTGGTGGTAGAGCTGAAGCAGTGTAGGCCTCCTTGACATTTGCATACAACAGATCCAGTGTCTTATTTTTCCTTGTGGGACAGTCAACATACTGAGGGAAGCCAGACAGGTGAGACGTGAGAGTGACATGGTTATAATCCCCAAATATTGCAATGAATGCGTCAGGGTGCTTGGTCTGTACTCTCGCAACAGTCTTGTGAATGACGTCACACACAACTGTAGTCAACTCTGGTTGTAGTTGAATGTAAACAATAATGGCGACTGTGGTTTCTTCCGTAGCGATGATGTGATGATGATGAAGGAATCTCTGCAGACACCGGCTCAGTTGTATATAAAAAAGCTTATTACAAGAAGGCACAGCATCGTTTAACAAGCATCAAAACAGCCTGTGAGAGGACCCAAAGCCAAAAAGGATCTTCTCCTGTTTTTCCCCAAAATCATACAATTTATAGGCTGAATAACCTCTAGATACATATTCATGACATAGCTGATTCCTAATAACCTATAGAGGCACAGAGGCAACATTTATGTCCAAAGATGGTCATTCTATATGAAGATAAAAGATACCATAAATTCTTTTATGTAAAACTAAAGTCAGCTTTAGGAATGTTTTGGAGACAGGAACGGAGGGGGTGCTCACCCTCTTCTGGCACCTGACCTTACACCTAGAGTCTCCTCCTTAAAACACTCCTATCCTTGACTCACAAATCAGCTAAGACACCACATATTTCCCCCCTTCGAGACTACACAGAGTCTCGAAAAACTAAAGAATAAAGTATACATGAATACATTTATGATAAAGATAACAATTCCTTCTACATATGTTTTCTACAACATACTTTTAATTTTAACAATATCTTTATGGAGTGTGAGAGCGAAAAACTTGTCTGACAGTCATCTTTCCTGAAATTTCCATCAAACACTCTAGACAGGAAAATTCTCCCACGGCCCCTCTGCCTAGGCGACCACTCACAGTACTCCAAATCAATTAAAATAGAAACTTTAATCATTTGTAACAATTTGTGTAGACTACAATTTAAGCAAACACATATGGAAACCTCAGAAAATAAAATCAAAACACTGTCCAAATTCAGGCCAGTCGTCCCGTCGCACCTTCCAATGGACCTTTCCCTGCCTAGTCCCCAATTTCCCTAGGCGTTAAAAAGAAAAAAAAATCTGAGGTCCCAATATATTTTCTCAATATCAAAAAACATCATTCTACAAACAATTGATACAAATAAAACATTATAAAAAAGTAATACTCATACAAATAAATAAGTGAAAACATAAGAATATATCACACTGCAGCTCCTCAGCAGCGTTAACTCTTCACTGTAGTGTCGATAATGTATCGGATCTGAACATCACCGTGTCCTTGTTCAGAGTTCTTCAGTCCATTGAAATTGTCCATTTTTGAGCTTCTGAGTCCCTTCAAAATAGCTTTCCCCAATTGTCCTTCTGGAAGGAAAGAAAAAACAGCAACCAGTATCTTTGCAAAAACAACAAATGCATATTAAAACATCAAATACAGAGTATAATGTAGAATTCATAACATCGTATTATGTCAAATTATGATTCACATTTTCCATTTCCCCCTACAAACACCTCCTAAATAACTACTCAATATTAAAAATAAATGCTAAGAATATACTAGAATTAAATGTTCAATATGGATATTTCTCCACCAACTCTCCTTCTAACTTCACTTCCTCATCATCGTCTGTACTATTCACCTGTAGTAACGGCATCTGAGATTGATCTCCAGGCATTACAACACCAACCCATCTCAATATCATTGCCTTCGCAAAGGTCAACAATAGTGTACAACAACAAAACATCACACACAATGATAGAAGTACTGCCACCAGAATTTGAACCAACACTGCTCCCACCGGTCCTAATATGCTCTGCAACCAAGCATTTGCAGACCATCCAGCTCCTTCTGATGGGCCAAATGCCTCTCTTATTTGTTTTAATGCATCTATGACACTAGTCATATTATCAGAATTATCGGTGTAACAAGCATCTCCTGTTAGATTCAAAGCTACACATAGGCCACCTTGTTTGGCCAAAATATAGTCGAGAGCCATATCATGCTTTAACAATGTCAATCTATGACTCTTTTGAGTATTTGACAAATGTTGAAACCCTCTTATGGTTTCAGTAGCGAACCCCTGTAAAGTGTACGTAATATTATCAATGTGATCCGCCAAAAATGTCACTCCATACCATGGAAACAATCCTATACCCCACTTTTCTCCTAGACTGATTCTCCAATGGTAGGCCTCCAAATTATGAAATTCTGCTAACTCCCTCTTCTTCCTACTTTCAGGAAGAACATTAGGTTGATCCTCATCAGGGACATCTCCCTTCTGAATAGAAAAAACCTCATATGGGAGTTTCAAGGTTACAACAATCTGTCCACCCATATGTCAGAAATATGTATGCCTTATCTCCACAAATCCACCAAAAATCTTTAAAATTTCCTATTGTCACATTTATAGGCAAAAGCTAATCCTTCACCATCACAGTTCTCCATTGTTTCTGATTTGGAACCGAAAACATCACTTTATACTTTTTATCCCTAGCCTTTCGTTCACACCTATCCAAGGTCATCAAATACTCATTACAGTCTGATAACCCCATAAACATACCAGGTCCATCATAAGTATTGTTTGAACAAAAACAGCTGTTGGCCCTCACAGATGTCACAACCATTCCATCCGGGATCGCTGTTAACATATTTTCCTGTTGATCAAGCAAATTCATATAAGGTAATCCCTCTAACCAGGAACAATTATTTCTAGGCCTAAAGAGATTTTTTGACAAAGACATCACTATATCTGTTGCTGATTGCTGCTGATACAACAGCCATGATAAAGCATAAGATTGACACATAGATGATAAAGGTTGAGGTACTGTCTCTAAAATCGAAGGCCATGTGCCTGGTGATGGAACTTTAACCACACATGGACAATTCAATCTTTGGACTGATCTTACAGAATGAGTCAACTGCTGGAACCATAAGTTCCTAGCTGCCCACATATCTGTAATTTGTAACACAGAAG